AGACCAATGTTCTTTTAAAGCATGTTTTCTAATCTCTGTTTCCTCTCAGATGTATGGTTATTGTCCACCTGGAAAGGCCCCAAAGTGATAGCCAGAAATCTGCCACCACCACCCCTTCTGCTGTTCCTGCCATCATATTTAATTGTGTTTGTTCAACTCGAAGCCAAACTCATATGCAGTATATTTAGATGGTTAAAACAGCATAGCACTCCACTGTATAGAGATTACTTTCAACACCACAATTCTTGGGAATTAGACTGGAATAAATAAGGTAAAGAGAAAAGAAGCAACATAAATTTCTTCCGGTGACAAAGAAAACAATATCAAAATGGCAATCTGGAGATCCGCCATGAATGAAGGAATAGAGTGTTCCTTTTGGTGCACTCTCCTGCAAATGCAATCACCGTCTCATTCGCTATTCTGGATTTATTTCAAAGTGGGTGAGAACAAAAGCAGGAAACTAATAGTAAGAGACTATGGAAAAAGTACCTTTATTATTTTGAAAGATCAGTGTACAATCACTGTGCTCATTCTTGCATAGCATTAAAGGTAAAGGTGTGGAGCTGGTATACAGGTTGATTTTCTGAACCTCTACGGACTCGTTATTTCCCACGATGGCGAACTTTCTAAGTTGAAACATATATCATTAATATGTATTCTGGATCTCTTTTTCTGATGTCTCAGCTACTTAAAATATCTCCAAAAAAAAAAATCACTTAATGAATTTACAGTCTTGGTCAGATACTTTTTGTCAGCTAACTCGATCTTAAAAGTTTTCAACTTGCATTTTTAGTTAGCATTTAACAAATACAAACCCTATCACCTACATGTCAGAAAACTTAAGAATCATGGAGCAAAGAACAGTCTTTGTTGCTGAAGAGGTTATGGCTTGAATTGGATCAATTAATTAAAAATAAAGATTAGCTTTCTGTTCTTTTAATCTGAGCCAAATTTCACAGCATCATCATCCTAACAGGCAATTCAAACATACAGGGTTTAATGAACCTGATTTTCATCCAAATCTGAAAAATGAAGAGCATGTATATGCTTGTTAATAATGTTTTATGAGATCTTGCAGAGTATACTTCTCATGTGTACATGACTGCTAATTGACTAGATGAATAGATTCACATTTAGAGAAAACCCACCCTTGCGCTCATCTGTCAGGAGTTGACTTTTTCTCTACAGTCTGATCCCTCATTTGTTCATTAATTAATTTGACAAGTATTATAATACTAGCTGTTCTAGATACTGACCTCACGGTTGGGATAAGCCAGGCAAGGCACTATCTCACATTTATACACTACGATGGGGGTAAGATTAACAGATAATAAACAAACAGAAACTGAGATCTCAGATAGTGATAACTCAATTAAGAAAACACAGCAAACTGCTATGGTGACCTGAGGGACAGTCACGTTTGACGCAGGTAAGAAGGAAAGGTCTCTTAAGAGATGACGTTTGGCCCTGATGGACAAGATAGATGGTGCCAGCCATGTAAAAAACTGAGGGAACTAAAATACCAAGACCGTAAAGTGAGAAAGAACTTAGAGAACCTAAAGAACCCGAAGAAGGTCATCTATTTAGAGCAGCGTACACTGAAGGGAGGCCAGACAGTGAGTAGAGGTCATATCCCTGTTAAGGATTCAGGCAGCCCTTCAAGATTTGTTCTGCTTTTGCAGATAGCACAGAACTGCCTTTGAAATGAAAACTGATATTGCCTCAGAGACATACTGCCGGCACCACAGATTTCTTCTTTCATGTGTCTGAACTGTCATCTCAGGTCTTCATCTCTGGAGTGGCTCACTTGACCCTTGACCCTCTTCCTAGCTCTTTTCTCCTGTTTGTTATCCAGACCTTTGGGCCTGCTGCCTGTTCTCTAACCTAAGACTTGTTTTGACCCTCATTCTTTGTTTAGGCCTGGAGTCTCCATAACCTTGGTAGTCCCAATGTCAGTCTTGAAATGCCAACTCCCTACTGACCTTAGTAAATGCTGTTTCCTTCCCTGACCAGACACTAACACCACTGTTACTTTAATACTCTTGAATATGTCAATATCTATCTCCATGAAGTAGTTATATAATTATCAATATTTTGTATTAAAGATAAGGAAATCCAAAATCAAAGGTAAGCTCCTGAGAACCCAGGAATCCTGCTTTCTTTTCTCCATCTTGTTTTTGGGGGCAAAGGAAGTCTTGCTCACTTTAGGCATAGTGAGAAAAGTTCACAGCACGTCTGTTTACTATACAGAAGTTGAAGATCAAGGTCAAAATAATTTAAGGAATTAATAAAAAACAAATTCCCTTATCCTGAATTTTTTTCATACTTGTGTATTTGAGTTCACTTTTTTTTCTGTAACATTATATCCGTAGACTACACTGGTAGTCCGTACATACACTAGACCACAGCACAGAGATACGTAAGTACAGATATATTACCAATAATAGGAGCGAAAAGAACAAATGACTTGCCGAACTGTTGACCTTGGGAGAAAGAACTGCACATATTTGGCTGAGCTGCTCTGGTTTCTCTTTGGCTTTGCCTGACCCCCAAAACCATGGTTGCATGGTTGTAGTGAGGATACACTATGTAGATACCGGATGATGAGTGTAACTCTGATTCTAAAAGTCTAGTGTTCTATGGTCTCATTTTCAAATATGTGTCTTTCAGATAACCATGTTGTCAAAAATTCAATGCATTACTAAAAAAAAAAAAAAAAAAAAAAAAATGGCACTTTCAGATAAGTCCAAACAAGAGAATGTTTTAGAGAAAATAACAGAAGCAATTTCCTCAGCAGTTCAATACTAATCAAAACTCATAAATAGCATTCTTAGAATAAATGGGAAAGAGATAGAGGTGATTAAAAACTCTCAGGTGTCTTTCATCCTTCTAAAGTAGATCACTTAGGTTCATTGTAGCCTGCTGTGTGGTAGTTTGCAATAGAATGCTTTTCATACCATTCTTTAAAAAATCTAAGGTTCTTATTAAGATGAGAGTCTAGCTGTTTCTATTAAAAATGCATGACCTTTTCCCAACAGAACTGTTTTGACCTGTTATTTGTGGCTAAATTTGTGAGAGTTCTTTTGGAACCCTCACTCCTGCACATATCTCAGGGAAATAGACTTTAATAGCTAGTGACCTAATTGAAGTGTATCTGAAGGTGTTAAACAAAAATAATCTGTGATTCTGGTTAAAACACAAATTCACTTAGAAGTGAATATTCTACAGAGCATTGCAGTAAGTTTGGAAGGTTGTGTTGTCCCTAGAGTACCATTTAGTGCACTGGAAACAGCAATTCAAAGCTGAAAAAAAGTTAAATAAACTATAATACAGTTAATCTACATAAACTCAAAAACTTTCCACATAAGAAGTAAAAAAATTACTTATCTTTCCTAGTTTGTTTCCAGACAGACATTTAAGGCTATGTAGACACCATGTAACTACAGTTTCAAAAGACCATCCAGCCTCTCCTCCACCAACCCTGTCATGTTGGCAGACATCCTGGAGACAGGAATACCTCCGGGAGTTTGTGCATGAACAGGGTGCATTCTGGGCGACTGGCTGCCAGGTGGTAAGTTCGCTGCAGAAAGAACCTGTCCTGGATAGGGGAAGCTTCTACATAGTGCAACTTGTCCAGGATGAGTGAATAAATTTAGTTCACAATAAAATATTAGAAATATTATTGTGAATTCTATAGCTTTCTGATCATAAAGCTTTTAAAAATAAATAAATAAAACAAAACAAAACAACCTCCATTTGGGAATAACTACAATCTCTCAAGATGTTTTCTTATATGCACTGGATTGCTCAAGGATGATTTGACAATCCTACTATGTCATTGTCATGATTTCCTTTCAGGAAAAGTGATACTCCATATTTTTGCAAAAAAATTCTGACATTAGGCCTGCCAGTGGCAGGGTGGTTGGGGCAGCTGGATCCCACGTGACCCACTGTGCAGCTGGAGTCCTAGACCCTGCCCAAAGTTCCAAAAGGAGAAATGGAGAAGGGATTGCAGAGTGGCTATCCCTCAGGAGGAGTGCTTTCTCCCTCCTCCATTCCCCACATCTCTCCACTAAGAGTGTACGTGCCTCCTAACAAATTAAAAGATATTGAAATATATTCTATGTCACAAAGATCATATAGAAGATGATTCTCATTCTTAGCTATAAGCAAATGGATGACAAACAATAAAGTCTCATATATTTATCTTATTTGAAAATGAGATAATTCATAGAAGAATCCACTTTTCAAAGTTTACACCTTATTATATTCACTGAAAATTTTAAAGTTCACAAAAAATGTTAACTAATCCAAGACAGAAGGAAAATGTTTACAGTTTTGTGCAAAATAAATGACAAGTGTGGGTTCTTAGCTGAAACCACATTATCATTTTATTGAGGTGTGTGTGTGCGTGTGTGTGTGTGTGCGTGTGTGTGTGTGTGCTTGTCTGTGTGTAAAATAATATGCAACTGAGACTATAGCAAGACATTGCCAAAATAACTGGCTGAAAAGTGAAAAATTCAATCACGACAATATTACTTATATGTTTCCCCTGGTTAGACTCATTGATTTGACTTGGCATTTTGTATGCATTCATTAACTTGCTGTAAAGAAAGGTATAATATAATATCATAATGACATTCAAGTCAATAACTTTGGGTGTTTATAACACAAAGTCAAAAATATTTAAAATTCAGATGAAAATAAACCAGTGTCAAGACAGAAGCAAATTTTACTGACTTTTGCAAATGTTCACTATGGAAAATGGTATTTAGAATTCTACTGATATAATTTCAGCATGTTTTTCTAAAACAAGACAGTAAAGAAGGGGAAAATAAGAGACTTCCCTGCTGACAAAATCCTTTCACTTTTCCTAGAAATACTCTGGTAAAATGTATGTGCACATGTGCGTGCAGACACACACAGGCACGTACATATACACATGCACACACGAACCCTCTCCCCTCAAACCACATCCCCAAGATCCCCAATCTTATTACCTGTTTCTGAGCAGCACACTGAAGGTCATCTTATCCAGTCCTAGATAATTTGGCAGCAAGTTTGACCAATTCCAGTTCCATTTTGTGATGGCTGACTGTTGATAAATGAGAAGACACTATTGTTAGTTATTAATCAGAGTTAATATGATCAGTAAATTAAAGCTCCAGCTGTGATAGACTAACTAAGAAGGAGGGGGGTCCAGAACAAGGACTTAGACAGATAACATCAATCATGTCCACAGAAGAAGGTTTTTATTCCAATAAGACAGCAATTAATTTATAAATCCATTTGGGGATGTAGTCATTATTTATAAAAATATAAATCAATTTTTTGAGTCGTTATTCTTCCAAGTGTTAATGGCATGTGCCCAACAAGTTTCTCTGGGAGGGGGACTCTTTTTGAAAAGAAAAGCAAAATAATTGGCAACTTTTTCATAGGACATATCAATTTATAGTCTGTTTTATTTTTTGCATCCAAAAGTTGAATTAAAAAAAAAAACATTGAAAGTACTAGGACTCAAAAGTTAAGACATAACTTAATTAGACTGTGATAATTAATATTACCTTTTTGGTTAAAGAAAATTCTTTAAAGAGGAGATATAATGACCTAGTAGCATAAATAACATAAATGCTTCTTTTTGCTCATAAGATGTAAACTTCACAACTGGCTAAGAAGAAAAACTACTGTGAAAAATTAATCCCACAATTCAGAACTCAAATGTAACTTGCTGTTTATTTAAATGAAGCAGAGAAAACTTAAAAGCTACCATAATTATTCATGGTTTGGAGCATTTTAATGTAGAACATAAGAAAGAAGCCATTAGTTCCAATGTTAACAATATATTTGATTTTAAAGAACTGTAAATGTTTACGTTCCTTAAAACTAACTAGTTTTGCTAATAAGAGTCTGCTGATGCTTAACAGTCCAACAAGAGCTAGTCCCTGTCACCTGCTGATTAATCGAGCACTACGATCCTGTCATAGAGCAGGAGAATTCTGCCCTGGGTTGTCAGCATTTGAAGGTCTTATTCTACTACAGTATTGATGAATGTAGACTAGAGCTGTAACAGGCATGGCAAAAATATTATCTGCATGCCGAATTAGGCCATTGTTTTAATTCTTATTTTCATCAGAGCTCTAGGTCAAGCAATCCTTCTCTTCTGCCCTGTTAGTTCAAATTGTCTGTCAAGAGGTTTCTGGGAAAAGCCACTAAAAGAATGAACAAGCAAAAGCAACTTTAGATTTCAAATACTCTGGCACAAGATGATCTTTTGAATGTAACTACTGAAACATGCAGCTTAAACAATGATACGATCTGACATTTTTTAAAAATGCATTTATCTTCTTGATTTTATGGCAAATATCCTGGCTTTAAGATCACTAGCAAATTCATTTTAAATATAGGAATATGTCTAGGGTTCTAAAAAACAAATTTATCTCATGTCACTTAAAAGAGTAGCTTAGTACTCTATTTTTAATTAACTTAAAATCATTTACTAATTTATCTGATACATTCATAATGACTGCAAGGTGTTTTGTGATATGAAGAATGTGTTTTGGGTGTAGGGGGTGGTAAGGGAGGAGGGGGCAGTTACAAAATGTCTGGTTCTTCAGACCTTTTAGAGACACAGCCTAACACATGTTCCCTCTGCCCTAACTTGACCTGGCCAAAATTAAAATTTGCAGTCCAAACAGATGAATGAGTTTGACAACTAGGTAAATAACTTTTAAAAGCCCGTTTTTACAGACCATGTAGATAAGAACAAGGCCTTTTGCTTCCTACCAAGAAGAGCTTATGTGTAAATATTCAAACACAAAGCATACTTTTCTTACTTGTGTAAAGAAATCGCATCCTTGAATTTATCATTTAATTTTCACATACCTGATCTAGCATGTTTTCACTAAACACCTTGTACACATGGAAAGGGTTAAAGGCAGAAGGCTGATCTTCCACACTCCTCAAGGTCGTCTTTAAAGGTCGGACGGGTAATGGTGTTTCCTCTGAACCATTCATAGAAAACAGCTGTTCCTTTAAATATTCCTTCAACGGAAAACAAAACAAAACCCTAAAAATTGTGATGGTGAGAAGCATACATTCACTTTAAAAATAAACTGATCAATGTCCAAATTTACCTTTAAGCACATTAATTAGATTACAGTATATTACTTGCCCCAGGAAGAATACATATTTGGAAATACACAGCAGAGTACCAATCAGCATTGCAGGAAACCTATCAAAAATAGGTTTACCTAATATACACTATAGATTAGAAAACCATTTAGCCAACTTTCATATGATGATAGATCAGAATCTTTTCAACAGGCATTGTCTGGTCATCGGTTCATGCATTAACATGCCTGATGCCCAGAAGTTAACTCATGGTATGCTCAGTCATTCGTTAGGTGTCCTTGCTACCTGCTCCAGGCTCAGCCCAGTGCTACCTGCTCCAGGCTCAGCCCAGTGCTACCTGCTCCAGGCTCAGCCCAGTGCTAGGTACTCGGCTTTTTATTTTTCACTGTAAGCAGTCTCATTCTATGTAGAATTAATTATAATGCAAATTCCTAAACTCTAGTTCCCCATCATGAACTGAAAAGTATCAAGGTTCAAAAGAAACTCAGAATAGGTCATTCTAATCCCCCAAATGCCAGTGTAGTCCTGGGCAGAAAAGTCATTTTACCTTGTTTTCCACCCATAAATAAAGTGAATAATTCTAATCTACTTTATGGTCAACAAATTTAAGTGATTAAAAGTCTCCCTTTGACTGACAAATACTAAAAATAGATCATTTAATAGATTAAAATATATAAACATTTAAAAATATAAATGTTCTTTTCCTGATTTTTAGTATGTCGCAATATAATTTTTTCTTTGAGGTTTGGATTAGGACAAAGTTCAGAATGTGAACGCTGAAAAGGATTTCAGGGTTATCTAGGAAAAAAAACCTTACTCCTCAAATTTGAGTAGACAGACTCACAAAGTCAGTTTCACCACGGAGCTTGTTAGGAGAGCAGGCTCTTGGGCCCCACTGAGTCAGAATCTGCCTGTTAACAAGAATTCCCAAGAAATCTGTAGGCACATGAAACTTCAAGAAAACCTAGCCCAACACCACACCCAGTGTTTGGCTGAACTGTCAGAGGGCAAGCCTGAAAAATTCCTTTCATCAGAAAAGGAATTTTACACCTAGATTTAGATTACTGAACAACAACAACAAAATCATGATTTAGGTGAGTAAAATTTTAAAAAGGAATAAAATATTCTCTCCCCATTTAAGAAAAAAAAATCCTTTGTTTTCGCTCAGCTTTACTGATTTCCTCATATATAACCATTCAAGGGGTCCTCACAAAGTTCATGGAAAATGTATATTATGAAAATGATGCATGGTTTTCATTTGGGGGGGGGCACCAAAATAAACTCACACCTTAATTCCATTTTCCATAAACTTTTTAAAGTCTACATATTTTGGTTTTGCTTTTGTTTCAATTTAAAAAAAAAAGAGAGAGAGAGAGAGAGAGAAAGTAATCTGTTGCCAATGGTTAATAAAATGGGATTTTCTTCCTGGTAATTTCTCTGTTGTATTGACACTTATCCCTACCCCTTCCCAAAATCTCCATTTTTTTTTTTATGTTTTCTTTCTGTGAGTGAGAGAGACAGAGACAGTGAGACAGAACCTTTGCCAGGGTCTTGACACCACAGTCTGTCTCTGACCCTTGCCAGGCCTGGATTACTGGCACAGGTGTGCCTGACATACTCAGGGAGGTCTCAAGATGTGAACCCAGAACCTTCCCATGTTTGTCAGGCTTGCAGTGCTGAACTTTATTGCTGGGCCAGTTTCTAGCCCCCTAAAACCTAGATTCTTTTACTGTGACATTGCTTTAATCAGATTTATCACTTCTTAGAGCTATTTCTTTAGAATATTTCCATTCTTTCTTGAACTCCTTCCCTTGCAGTTTCATCAAAGCTTAATTCTCTTCCTCTTTCCATGGTGCAGTGCCACCAATATAATAACCTCGACTACCACACTGGTCGAAGACCACCAAATCTATAGGCACAGCCTCTTCTCTGTGTTTATAGCCAGGACCTGACATGTAACGGGACATTTTAGCTCAGACACCTTACCTGTATCTCAAAGACAAATGAATGCATCTTCAAACCCACTTTCCCCTCATACCTTCTATGTCTCTACCAATGGCATATTCATTTTCCCTTCACCTGGACCCTAATATAAACACTTCAGCATTCATATTACAGTTTCTTTTTTAAAAGTGTTATTTCTTCTGAAAGAGAGTGGGGGAGAAAAAGAGGGAGAAAAGGGGAGACAAAGGAAAAAAGGGAGAGATAGAGGCACCCACAAGAGGATTCTCATGCTGCCATGTACCTCCAATCTTGGCCAGCTTAAATGATGGCCACACCTCATGCCCAGTATGCTAAGGGAATCGTGTGGGTCCAGTTATGTTACCATTGTGCCACCATTTTTGGGTAAGACGTAGCAGCACATCTGAAGGCACTAAAGACTGGAGCACCACTCGTCAAATGAGCAAACATCACAATTACAGTTGTGCCGACCCCTTAGTGATGTCTCACAGTATAAACACAGTCATAAATTCTGTACTGGTCTGTCCGGGTTTGTTGCCTATGGTTCTGTAATAGCCACAAGTCAAAGGCCTCCTATTTTCTTTGCTTCTAGAGTCACCTAATATTATGCCTCTTAGCTTGCAGTGCTGTGCTCACTAGCCGAGTAAACTATCAAACATATCCCATCTGATGGGTATTACCAGAATAGTAAATATTGGGTCATCAGGAAAGTCATGATGCATTCTTGCATAAAAAAAAAAACTATGTCATGACTTTTCTGACGACCTAATGTATTCAATTGTACCAAAAGAAAAATCCTAACTTTGGGCTTAATTGATGAAAACATGGGGGTACCACAGGGAAGATTGCATAGCCTACCTGTTCAGAACCACCGCCTCAGGGTTACGTGAGCTCCGTGAGGGAAGAATAGACTCCGGCTTTACAGAATTCATTAGATCACTGATGATCAATAAAATCCAACCTAATTTTTTTTATGATTTTGCTTATTGGTAATTACTGATCCTTTTTTATTTTTGTATTCTGTATCTTTAAAAATAGAACTACTTTATCAGATTGGAAATTTATGCCAGCTATCACCATCTTCAGAGGGATTACAATCCCACTTTCCCAAGGATCTGAGAGTAATGACCCTGTGACATCTGTCCTCAGCGGTCACTACAATTGCTTTGGGCAATCTCGGTGGCTACATGGACATGCCGATGAGGAACATGGCTTCTCAATGGAGTTCTGTCAGTTAACCAAGGACAGGAGTTCCCCAGAAAGACGTGCCACACAGATCACTACCAAGAGGCAATAGGTTGTTACTGTGTAAGCCCCACATAGCGAGCTGGTGCCTTAGGACAGGATCAGTCCTCCTAGCTCTCAGGTCCTCACATCCCTCTCAGGTTATCACGGAACATCGTTATGTCACTTGTTTATTGACCGGTGGATTAAGCTCTGTGACAGTCAGGAAACAAGATTTATTTGAACTAACTTTCAGAAAGACAATGGTAGGGAGAACATTTATATAACTAAGTTGTAATGTGCTGTTGTAGACCTCCAGTCACTCCTTGGAACTGTATGGTTTGTAAGGCCAATATCACTGAGATAAAACACTATACATCTGCATTATTCATTCACAGTATTTGTATTACACAATTTGTACTATTCCAAAAGCTACATTTATGTGTTTACATATATAAACATAATTACAGTTGCCACATTCTAATTCAGAGACACATAATCCAATTGAAATCATGCTTAAGTTAGCAAACTCATATTGTTTCAAGAAAAAAACTGAGATAACCTATTTATATTTTCAGTAAATAGTCAACAACATGCAGAGGCCAGAGACTTAACTGAGCAAAGATATAGACAGACCTAACATTGGTTCCAACCAGTGTCCATGCAGTAATGAATGTTTTGGGATTAATCTGGTTGTTGTGAAATATGATTCAATATTCTTCTAAAGGTTTTCATTACCTAAGCCTCCAACTTCACTAACAAAAGTATGATGTCTTCAAGGAAAAGAGCTGTCTCTCTTCAGAAAATTCTTTATTGCACAAATGGCAGATTTTAACGTCAGCTTAACAGTCACAAACACACAATTCCCAAACTACACCTCCAGTCTTTACAATTCAGAGCTGAACTGAGTTTATGAGCCGTGTTATTGTTTAAATCATATAAATAAAACCTACATTGTTTCGGCGAAGCTTTCTCTGTACAAATGCAGAACAGCCGGGGCTGAATAGATTCTATTAATAATGCAATATTGAGTTTGGTATTGACTTTAAGAAGTATTATCACCTCCTTGACTAACCCTTAGCTGCCAGCAGACGCTGCCTCAGGCCAGTACACACCTAATTGCTCGGTAAAAAGGCCGTTTCCCTACCTCATTGAGCCGCATGATGTGATAAATTTGCCTCAGGTACTTGCTGCCACCTGGTTTGTGGCAGAGATCCAGGACCATCGTGTTTATTTTCTGCTCAGTCAGTTCAAGAGCAATATCTCCTTCTTCTAAGGCTGTGCTAGTCTCTATTGTCATAAATGCGCTAAATACAAAGAGAGAATATGCGTATCAGTATCAGTGGTGAAGAATTGTAAAGATGGAAAATAATCAAAGAGATTGAGTGTGGAGAGTCGATGTAAATCTCATATTCAAAGCACCCATAAAGACTTTGCTCAGCTAGGTACACCTTCCCAAACTGCTGCTGCTCATACAATAGAAACAGCCTGAGAATTAAGCACCTGAAAGCACTTTCAAAAATGGAATCGTTTCTTTTAAAACATTTCCTTATTGCATTTATACCCCTATCTATAAAACATTTTCCCATTACTGCAATTGTTGCAATTGCTATAATCATGGGATAAAAACAAAACATTTCTTTTAAAGAACATGTAAGGAATAATTTGTATTTTCTCTTTCAGGATAAGAAGTATCTTTGACGCCAGAAATAGCTTTGGTGTTCTGCCTTTTGTAGAACCTCTTCACACCTGTCGTAAAACACATTAAAGAATAATTAAAGTGTCAAAAGGGGATGCCTATTACACTAAATATAGGTTGGGTGCTTCACCGGTGTGCTTGCCACTTGGTATTTTAAATTGGCCACTGACACTTGTTGCCTTTTAAAAATACTTGTCCCCACTCCTGTTTTTCTGTAATAGATACTTAGCAAAAATCACTACTCTGATTATTCTTCCCCAAAAGGGGTCTACTACCAGTGTACCAGAAATGTGCAAGAGAGAGTTCTGAAACATTTCTTTTAGAAGAACCAATACTCTCATTCTTGATTTTAAACATGATCTACATGGTAATAATGGATGACAAACAATTTTTTAAACATCTTAAACTATATCAGTACAAAAATCATGATATTCAACTTACAACACATATTCCACGCTAATTTTCTTATTAGAACTGCTATTAGGGGCATGTTAAGTGTGCAATCTAAGTAGTCTTAGGAAAACTTACGGTTTCCCAGACTAAATGAAATTTACTGTGGTGTAATCAGCTATATGCTGCAGTTCATTACTGAGATTTTGCCATGATTATAAAATTAGTTCTGCCAAGAGTCAGTGCCGCTGACCTGAAGACTCAACCAAATGATACCCAGCTGCTGGACATTAACTTTGATATTGCTTCCACATGTACCTTCAAAGCATCCTTTTCGAAAAAAAAAAAAAAAAGCTTTTGGACTATATATAAGCCTTGCTAAAAAAAAATAAGCCAATGCTACTCTGATTTAGAGTAAATATTGAAAAAAATATATTCTAATGTAAAAGAAGTTTGCCAATATCTTTTTGAAGCTACATACAGGTTGCAAACAACATTTGTCAGATTTTGTAGAGGCTGACATTGAAAAAGTTGAGGCCCTCCGACAAAGGAGTATCTCAGTGTCAGCCCCTGAATTGTATCCTTTCCTGTCCATCACTGTGCAGGTGAAGCAAATGATTGGATTCAGTCAATGCTATGATTAATGAGTTCCTCTCTGGATTTGGGACTGCCTATCAATCATGTCATTAGGGAGAATGTGCCCTGAAAGAGGCAGACCTTAGCCAAGGAATAACTGCATTAATCTTAATCTGTATATGCACCCAGCCAGCCAAGTCAGGGTCACCATGATGAAAAACAATAATCTTCAACTCGACAAATTACTTTGCAAAGACAGACATTTCTTTACTTTTTGGGCTGTGTGTTCTCCAGAATCTAAGTTGACTGTTTACAGCTTGAGTGTTACTACAAAGTGAAGGTTATTTTAATGAATAGTAATGCTTTCAGGCAGTATGCAAGACAGGCAATGCTTACAGCTGCCACCTTTTCTGCCACAGTTATTTTCACTATTTCCATAAAATCGAAGTTAAATCTAGTGCAAGTGAAAGAAATCTAGCTAAATGGTATCACATGATATGATCATTTTTATGAAGCATTAAGATTTCATTGATGTTAACAGGATAACCGTTTTAAATACTTACATACCCATACTTAAAATGGTATATATGGTAAAGCCAAAGCAGCCCTCTATTTAAAACAGACATAATGGTTTGAGATATATTTTTCCTTATGGTATAGATCTATAAGCAAAATGATCATTGATTTGTGAGAAATACTTGGAGGTGGAAGTTCACCTGTATATTGGCTAATCAATTTGAAACCAAAGTCAAGAAGAAATATTCCTATAACACTCAAACTCTACAGGCATCTGATTCCAATGTGAGTTAAATAAAAATAAGCTCTTTTAAAAATAAATAAATGATTTAATCTACTTTTTAAATATGAATATTATTTGAGAAGTTGAGAAAGGCATAACGCTATGTAAATTACCTAATTACTAAGACTCTTTGAGGGTGGTAAAATATTTTTTAAATCAGCAATTCATTTTTGATGTATATCATATTAGAGATAAAAAGTAATCTTTTGGCTCATTGCTAATCGGCCAGATATTAGCTAAATGAATCTCTATTCTGGTAGATACCATGTGTGTTGGTGCTGTTTATAAAACTTACATGTAAATCAGCTTTTAAGGAGAAATCTTAATTTATAGATTCCTGTATACAGCTCTAGGTATGTTACTTAGACATTGCTTTACATGGAACTTACCTGATAGAAAGGCTCCTAAATTGGCAGTATCATAAATTTAACTTTGTACCTATAATCAGATCTTTTTTTATTCTTTTTTCTTTCCCTTTTATAACCACTGCCATGGATAATGACATATGGCCTTAATCTTTTAGTCATTGGATTAAAGCCTGTAAATTGGTACTGAATGCAAATATAAAGATTAAGAAGGTCACTGTCAATGTTACTAAGCATCCGCCTGACTACTATTGTTATTCCTTCCCACGGGACATCCCAGAAGTAAATTTCTAGAAGTTAGTATGACAAGACCAGAAAAATCATGATTGTCTACTTTTCCTTATTTGGATGAATACAAAGTCTTAAAGGCTGGCCTAGACAAGTAAAGATATTAGTTATCAGAATACTAACCAGTGAATAAAATGCATTTTAATAGAGTGCATAAATATCAAATGCTCAGTAGTTCTAAGCTTGATGCTAGAATTTTATGATTGTTATTTCGTTTTTCGAAACAGTTCTATCATTTTAGTATCATCACTGAAACTGAGGCTTGGAGGGATTCAATAAATTGCACGAGATTACCCACTGACAAGGGGTTTGTACTTGCCACCTGATTCCAAGCGTGATTTCACAATGAGCTAGTAAAAGTAACCATGTTTCAAGTGACTTTTAGTCATTTCAGGCAGAAAGTTATACTAGTGTTTGGTAACAACATGACTATATTTTAAAAGAATGGAGGTTAGTGGATGTGAGTGTTTTTAAAAAAAAGACTTAGTGTCTGTAGACCACCTGAACCAGAATTCCTCTATCAATAGCATGCAATTCTATACCTGAAGACTAATTTTAAGACAGGAGCACTCTATGTACATATTTAAATTCATCAGAGACCCTTAAAAATCTTTGCAATACCACAAATCACTTAGTTCTTGGTGACAACCCTCTGAGAAGGCTGACATTTTCATACAGAAACAGCTGGGTGTGTTTATAGCTTGAGTGTGATATGCCCCAGTTGCCCTCTGGGATTCTTACATTACCAGATGAAAAATGTGTACCTTTTTGACAATCAGGTACACAGAAAGTAATAAAAAGCCTTTTATATCCATTAATTCCTTCTTAATTTAATCTCCATGCCCAATCCATTTTCAAAATGCTCCAGGCTATCCAGTAGATACCTGTTTGCACACTGAAAGGGAGTGAAACCAAATTCTCCTGGGTTTAACTACCCCCTTTAATCAGAAACCTTAAGAAGGTGACCGAACAAGTATAATGTTCCAGTGTATCAATGTGGTTCAAATTTTAAGACAAGAGAGGCCTAACAATTCAGTTTTTAATGGGATGCTTATCTTTTCCTATATTTATCCAAGTTCCCATGAATTTAGCAAAATGACCTTCACTGCCCATCTGACAATATTTTCTTGTTGTTATTTTGTTATGGTAAAAGTATTTGATAAAATTCAGTGGAAAAAAAGCAGCACTTTACCATTCAGAGCTCAATTTCCTTGCTTTCAACAATTGGCGCTCAATCCAGTTGGGCTTTTGTTGCTCGATGCTCTGTATGACCTTCTGGGTCATTTGATTAGGGCTACTTGTCTGCTTTCCCATGATGCTTTCCAAACACACACAAATTAAACCGAGTTTCTCTTTACTCCATCTGTCAAGGGAGGCACCTGTTAAAAGTTCCACAGTGTTTCCATCCTCAAATATCCGACATATAATTACAATCAAGTTCCAGACGAGCAGGCCAGCTTTCTTCAATTCAACAAAGTTTTTTGACATTTTTCTCTCAGACAGAAAAAAGAAGTATTTAATTGGGGGAGGCAAACATGCAATCACCGTAGGTAACTTGCTGATTACAATAGATACTGCCTGAGCAGCAAGCCTTGTGAAGCCTGGAGAAGAAAAGAAAGAAAAGGTATGATTAATATTAGCATTTTTTGTTCCGTCACTGTTTTTTGTGTTGTGTAAGGATGTCTAATTTTTGTGGAGAAAATTGTTGAGAAGAGCAAGTACTTGACATATTCCAGCAGAACTCCACATGGGCCTCCAGCAGTACTACCTAAAATCTCCCAAATCTCAAACTTGCTTTCCCCTCCTCCCACTAATGAAGATGAGAAAATTCAGAACTGTAATTTCTATTTTTATCTTTGAAGATTGCAGCTTTGAAGGACCCAGGTGCTCTCCTAATTAACGGATGCAGAGGCATCCCTGCTGGACCTCTTTGCAGCCTTTGACACCTCTGACTTGCCCTGAAGCCTTTCTCCTCCCTTCTAGATTTTTGACAGGCTCACCCCAGCCCTTCTCAGGACTGGCTCCTCTTTTTTCAGTTCTCTTCTAAATGTCATCCCATCTAAAGCAACCACTTCACACCAGTCCAATAGCTCTTTTTTTGTTTTAAGAGAGATTTTTTGCTGTAGGGAGAGTGCGCTCTCTGGCGAGACAGAGAGAGACAGAGAGACAGAAAGTGAGAAATCACCCTCCAGATGGCCACACCATAATCCAATTTCCATTCTCCTCGATATATCATGCATGTGCACACATACACGTGCCCAGTGTGAGTTTTAACCACTGGGTCAGGGACCTGAACCACAGTCAACTATGTGAAATCCAGTAACTTAACCATTATGCTATCTGCTCATCCCCAGCCCCATCGTTTTCTATCATAGGACTGCATGTTGTTGCCTTTACTATAGCACTTGCATCATCTAATAATGATTTCCTTTATCTCTTCATTATCTGTCACCTTCCATGAGAGCATTACTGTATCCCCAGCACTTAGTATCCTATGTATAATAGTTGTTCAATAAATATCTGTTAAATAAATAAGTCAATAAATCGATTTATGTTTACCTATATTACTCCTCTTGGCTTTTCTGTGTCCCTGCTAGTTCCACTTTCTAACAGTTCTTAAATGTGAGTATTTGCTAAGAACTTCTTGAGCTTTTGGCAGATGATTACACGTGCCCTCTCTTGGTTGGTGCTCTTTCGCTAAAGGATGTATCGAAACTCCTTCTCTAGTTCAGGGTTTCTCAAATTTTTCACTATGGACATTTTAGGTTGCATCATTCTTGTTGTGGGGCACTGTTCTGTACCCTGTCCGATGACATTTTGCAGTATCTCTAGCCTCCACTCAGTAGATGCCAGCAAGGACACCCTCAGCTGTGACAACCAAAAACTGTCTCCAGGTATTGCCAAGGGCATTTGCTCTTGGAGGCAAAGCTGTTCCTGGTTGAAATCCATTCTTCTAGATGATTCCAGATACTTCAATTGCAATTCTACAACTCAGCTCTCTGTTCTACTTCTTTGTCTTACTCACCTTTAATTCAATATTTGGTCATGCATCACTTAACGACAGGTGTATGTTCTGAGAAATGTTCTGTTAGGAGATTTTGTCACTGTGTTCTTACACAAACCTCCATGATTCAGCCTACTACACACCTAAGCTATATGATATAGCCTATACGTATGCTCCCTATGGGACCACCTCAACGATGATGTTGTCCTCGACTGACATTACGTAGTGCATAACTGTAATTAAAAACAAGTCCATTTTCTTCTTTCCAAATTGACTTGGCCCATCCCCCTCCCCACACTTTCCCCTTCCCTCACCCTCCCTTCTTCCTTTTTTTTTTTCCCCCTTTCTTCTTAAATACCAAAAACACTCTACAGTTCAGCCTCAGTCTTTCTCTATGGACATTTCTGGAGACCTCTGACATGTTTTATCAAACTCTTTACTTTTGGGTCTCTGAATATCTCATGATTCTCACATGGAATGCCTTCCTCTTCATGATTTACTCATATTCTTCAACCGTTAGTTCAAAGTCCTCTTCTTTTGGGCTGATCCCATGGTCTACTAGTTAAGGGAGCCAGATCCCACATGGCCAATCAGAATTCAAAGCGTGGCCCTAATGGCTTAAAAATAAAACAGAAACAAACAAACAAACAAAAAACCACCAGGCACATGCATGCCTCAAATCCTGACAGGACTGAGGAATGGAGCAGAAGGGATTGTGGATGGCCATGCCCCATTGCGGAGTACTTTCTCCCTCTCCCTCTCCCTCTCTTTCTCTCACTGGCAAGCACACATACACTCTAGCAACTTATAAAACAAAACAAAGTCCTCTCTCACCTTCTAAATTTATTCAAATATATTGTCTAAATGACCATTTTGGTCATTTGTCCACAAGGTCCATGCTGTGTATCTCTTGTATTATCACTTACTATTATTTGTTTACATCTCACAAGTTATCTTCACAGCTAAACTAAAAGTTCCATAAGAGTGTGGTGAATAATAGCTCTTAGCTCCTTGAGTACCTAACAAAGGCAGGCAGAGTCTTAATTTAATATGTACATAAATGGATATGAATATTGTAACTGAATAAGAAGCCTAGAGGTGTGTTTGAGTTCTTCAGTAAAATACTCTTTACTGTTTTTACTGAACAAAACTAATAAAACAATATGAAAAAATTTTTCAAAATATTTGGTAACATTTAAAGAAGTCACTCTGCTCTACGAAAATATAAAGCTCTTGGAAAACAAGTTTTTCTAGCCACTCCTCTGAAATTCATAAAAACATAAGAATCTTTTTTTTAAAATTAACAGTGGCAGTCTTTGCAAGTTAGCAAAAATGGGTTCCCACACATATTTGGATAATCTCATAAGACTATTGTATTAAATGAGACAAGAAATGTGAAAGCACCTCACTCAGGACCTGGTGAAATAGTTCCTTAGTTAATGTTTGCTTTTTATTCAAATGAGTATGTTCAGATGAACCTTAAAATATAAATAAAGCAAATTAAGAAAACCCTGTGACCCCTCTTCTTTGTGTTCTTATTTACATGTCTTATTATTCTTTATAGGTTTGTGTTTCATACTCTCTAGTTTCCAGTCAGGTATTTGTCTTGCAAGATTGTATCTTATATTCTTTCTAGTAAAAAGGGTTTAACCACAGACACTGAGCAAACTTTTGACAATCTAAATAGACATTAGGTAAAGATTACCAATTCTCTTCACACTTGTACTTCTACTGATATTTTTTGTAAACTCTGAGGATTGCAGGTACTCAAATCCCCAACTACTTCATTAAAACTTAAGGTCAATTGCAATCAGGATCATTAGGCTGATGACAAATTAATAAACCCATTCTACAAAATATCAATCATAATTTGTTAAGTGAGGAAATTGTAATTTAATATGCATTATTATTTTTTTAAATCTGGGTTTAACACTCTATAATAGAAAAGTAAGATCCTCAATTTATTTCAATACCAGCATTTCATGGATATTACAGATGAAAAAGCTACTGCACGAACATATACAGGTCCACATGGAACAAGTTGATCATTAGCTGTTCTGACAAAACCACAGCACTTGTTTTGTAGTTTTAATCACCAAAAAAGCTGTTGTCGAAATTTGATTAATAAAGGGACCAGCAGTTTGAGTAATGGCTATATCGCCGAACTCCCACGTAGCCGACGGTGGTTCGAATCCTGGACCCGGTAGCTTAAACTCAAGCCAGGCGCGTGTGTGTATGTGCCCAAGATCCCGAGAGGAGAGTGGAGAATCGACTACGGCGTGGCCATCCTCTCTGGGGGGTGATTTTTCACTTTCTGTCTCTGTCTTTCTGGCGAGTGCAGTCGTGTCTCTTGTGGGGGCTGTGCCGACCTAAAGAAAAAAAAAAAAAAAAAAAAAAAAAAAAAAACTCCAAAAAAAAGAAATTTGACATATAAAAATAAATAGAAATCATCCATGATGTAAATGAATTGTTCTTACAAAAATAAACAAATTTTATTTTTAAGAAAAATATTCAAGAATCTCTGAAACTTATTTGGAATTTTAAATCATGTTAGAAAATGAATGACTCCTGACAGCATTTGTGTATTTCTGCCATCAGTTTCTTCCTCAGCAATGTACAAAGGAACAATGGCTTGGATACACACATTTTCCTCACCTCTGGTTCCTCTCTCCAGAATCCATTGTTTCAGTTAAAATAACAGTTTTGTCAAAACACAGTCTTCTTATTAAAAAAGTAATTTGCTGTTGAGAAAATATTTTCTCAGGTATATCTTTCATTTAATTGTTGTCAGAGAAACATAAAACAACTAGTTGTTTATGTAACTGTTCTTTGAAACATAATGAAACAAATACTAGAAGCTGCATCAGAACCATCTGAAATTTTTGTTCAACTATATGGAATATCTCCTACACTCTATAATTTATTATAAATAAATGATAAACTATTCTTTTTCTTTAAATTGTCAGTGTTTTGTACGTAATAGTATTTGCTGACCGAAAAATAAAGAACTGCATTTTAGTTTGGCACCAGTGTTTTCAGTGTTCTGGCATTTTCACTGGGTCAGGAAGGACATATGTGCCTGTAAGGTAGTGAATATTGGTCATTTGATAAGTTTAAAGTCTCCCTCCCCCCCCCCAAAAAAAAGGCCTTTAAACATTTGTTATTGTTTAGAGAAATTTTACAAAGAAAACGAGTATATATCACTTGATTTAAAACAGTGTTGAAAAAATTATCGAGGTTTGTCTTCATGTTTTGAATGCTTGGTCTTGAAATCTTTTGCTACACAAGGTGACTTCAATCGCTAATATAGACAAGTTTGGCTAATATCTCAAGGCACAAGACTCACTTAGGAATTCCCATGAACAATAACGTATGGGAAGTTATATTTCAAATGGTTTGCCCTCATTTCCTTTTCTCAACTTTTTACCAAATTTGATCAGATTATCATTGTTTTAACTTATATTATGGCTAAGAAAGAGCTCATATTGGGAATAAAAAAGAAATGAACATTTCTGCTTAGTCATTGTTCTGCATTGTATTCCCAGTGAGTTTTCAACTGCAGTTGTTGATTTATAGGAATATGTTAAAATCATCTGTATGTTTCCTGTGGACCTTATTAACGGTAGATTCTGCAACGCAATGGAAACTTTAATTCACTGCTGTATACTGAGAGCTGAAAGGGGAATAAGGTTACCCTGCCCTTCTTACAATATTGTAGAGCTTCTGCTCTTCGCTGGAGCTTCCTCCATCATTCTCGACACACAAACGGCTCCCTCACAGACCACGGAAGGGCTCCAGTGACCATCTTTATGTGTGATTTTGTAAAGTGTAATTTCTTTTTCTCACATGGTAAGAGGTGTGAGCTGAGGTGTATGCACCCATTTTGAAATAGCAACACCATTTTTTCTTTTTGGAGAGATTTTCACTGTAGGGCGCTTGCGCTCGCCAGACAGACAGAGAGCGACATAGAGACAGAAAGCGAGAAATCACCCCCCAGGGGGGATGGTCACGCCGCAATCCCTTCTCCTCCATTCTCCTCTCGGGATCTTGGGCACGCACGCACATGCGCCCGGCGTGAGTTTTAAGCCACCGGGTCCGGGACATGAACCGCGGTCGACTACGTGGGAGTCCAGCGACATAGCCATTACGCTAACTGCTGGTTCCCACAACACCAGTTTTTGAGCACCAAAAGGAAATACTGTATTTTCAGCTTCTCTCTGATCTTAAACAGAGCGACTGGTATGTAGTAGTCACTTACTTAGTAAATTATATATTGGTGGGAAATGGTAGAGGGTCAGAAATGGGAAAAATACACACATACACATTTTCACATATATATGTATATATACATACATGTATATATACATGTATGTATATATACACATATATGAAACAAAAATGGAAAATTATTTGTGGTTGACAACATGTATGATTAAGCCACTATGCAGTGTATTCAGGGTGAGAAATCACATTTTGTATGCCTTGATGATGCTTAGTGAATGAATGTAAAATAAATTAATAAAAAGAAATCATATATTGAATGAATACAAGAATGAATAAATGACTTTGTGTCTGGCAGGTAAATATTATCTGTCTTGTCTGTCTTGTATACTTCAGAGAAAATGAAGGTTGAAAAGTGCCAATCTTAAAGTCTCAGTGGGCATCTCAGTGGGCAGAAATGAAGCACGACGGCATTCTCCTATTGGCATATCTGCTTCAAATACAAAATGGCTTGTAAAGTCCTTTCCTTCCATCATTTGGTCTGACGCTCCTTTGTGTTTATCTATATGTTATACTTCTACTCTTTGTGATAATTTCATGGAAAATGTCATTAGATCATCAGGAAAGTCATGATGTAGTTTTCTATGTTTTTCTATGCAAAAATGTGTCAGGACTTTCCAGCAAAACAAATATTCAGTAAGGAAAACCGTAACAACGGATATTTGTTACGTAAGCAGAGGCTCTTTAAAAATAGTATGAAGGAATTCCCAAATGCCTGTAGAAAGCAAAATTGTTTATGAATAGAACTACTTGAAAGCTACAAGCCAATAGTGCTACTCATGTAAAATGATGTTCGCTATAGATCGTACTTCCTGAAATTCTCCAAATGAATGAAATATCCAGAACTAGAATGAAGGAGAGATGGCAACAACTCTTAGACAAGAACTTAAGTAATGAAAAGGTGACATTTTCCATTTTCAATTAAATGACTTTACTAGATTCAAAGACAGTTTAATAGGGCTTGGACAGAATTAAAGTATTACTATGAAAGGTCACAGATAGATAATTGATTTGAGTTTGTAATGTAAGGTCACTGGATAAGAGGCACATTATTTAGGATCTCCATGGAGAAGAATGAAAGAAAGGGTAGTCCCTTCAATTGACTTTCGTGGGTTAGCTGGAGTATTTTACTATTGAAAATTACCTTAAAGTTAGTAAAAACAAAACAAAACAAAACAAAACAAAAAACCTCTTCTTTGAAGATGAGTATGAACGGGAAAATAAGAGAAGATTCATGAATACAGATACATGAGACACATTCAAAGGAATCTTGTGAAATTCTGGGAATATGAAAACATCTAGGTTAAAAGAAACTACGTGAGAAGGGAACATGTGATTAGTAAAATAAATAAATTGTGTAGGTAACTAAAGGTTCATAAATGCCCTTGGTAGATACACTATCCTGAACAGGACTAATGCACACAATTCAGGGCAAAATACTCTCAGAAAAGCACATATAGAACTAAACTGGGTGCTGTTTTTTTGTATTGTTTTGTTTTGTTTCTTTTTACCTAAAATCTACACAGATAGATGTGTTAACTATGATTGGTGGTTGCACGGGGAAAAAATAAAGAAAAGAACAATAAAAAGAGCAAGATTTCAGGGCCATCAGGTGGTGTGGTGGTTAAGGTGTAGGACTACCACATGGCTGACAGCAATTCAAACCCCCAACCAGGTGGGTTGAAAATCACTCCAGGTGCATGTCCATTATGCCCAAAATCCTGAAAGAAGAATGAAGAATAAGGGATTGTGGCATGGTCACTTCCCCTCCCTGGTGGGGTGCTGGGGGGAGACTGTGATTTCTCACTTTTCCTTTCTCTGTCTCATTCTAGCAAGAGACAGTTTTTAGTTTTTTGTATGGCCAAAAAAAATTAAAAAGAAAGAACACGACTTCTAGATGTACATATTTTAGATTACTCAACTGATGTAAAGAAAATTAGTCAAAATTATCTGACTAATTTGTTAATACTAATAAAAACACAACTATCACAGAAAATTCTGAATTTGTGGTTAAATAAAGAATATCATTTGAGTCATATTCATTTCTGGTTTCTTGACCACATGGCATAGCAAAAAAAAAAATTAAAAAAGGGTCTCAAATATATTTGTTGAAAGGAAGATTAATATAGTTTATTTTATAATTAGTATTTTACCTGATTGGATAGCATAGAAAATTGCTTCTTCAAGGGTGTGTTTCTTAAAGAAAACAAGTACACTTACCTTTGCTTGATTCTTTCCTTTTGGTTTCTTTTGGGGTATAATTCCATTCTTTTGGAATGCTCTCCAGCAAACCATCAGGAATACTGTGTTTGTTTAGGCTTGTCCCACAGTTTCTTCCAGAGGTCATCATTGATATTATTTGCTGTATGGTGTCCTTGACAGCCTCCGTCAGTGCCAGCCTCAAGCATCTGATGACCTCTAGCTCGGACTCCATGCACGTGGAGACTTTAAAATCAGAAGGCATATTATGGTTAACACAATCTGGCAATTGCTTGTGCCTTGTTCAACTGGAAATTTGGTTTCCCAGTAATTTAGGTTTGCAGCTATCTGTGTATATTATAGGAAAGGAGAGCTGCTTTAAGCAAGGAAACCTCATTAATAATCAAGCCAATAAAACAGTTGATGAAGAGTTTTTCTTCTTGGTAATAAAGGGAATTGTAATTAAAATAATAGTCACAACATTTACTGAGAGTTTCAGACCCTGCTGGTGACAATATAAGTTGTATGACTTTCTTAGATGACAACTTGGCAATAATATTAAAAACTTTAATATATTTTTTTACCTATTGACTTATTTATGTCTTTCTGCAGAACTTAATTCTAAGAAATTAAAGTTTGTGAAGAAATATTAGAAAAAAATGAAGTGTACAATATTTATTGAATATTTAAAAAGGTTAGAAAAGACTATGACATGATTTTTATTAAAAAATACTTATCTATACACATGTTTAATAATGAAAATGTGTAGTCTATAATGTTAATAGTGATTATCAATGACCGGTGGGATTTCAAGTAATTTTTTTTCTTTCTTTCTTTCCTTCAACTTTTACTTTCTTCTTTTGTTTCTTCCCTTCTATTATCTTGCCTTCCTGCTTTCTTTCTAAGTATATGTATTACCCATGATCCATATGTATTATATATGGAATAAATGCAGTAAAAGTCTTTTTTGTTCAATTGATTTTGTTTTGTTTTTAATATGACTAGAAAGTTCTGGGATTATAGTTTGAATCAATACAGAAAAATAGGTCGGTGTGTCCCCATACCCCTGCTCAAATTTCCTAGATGATAGTCCTCAAATAACTCATTCATTTAATAGTGACTCACTGTTAAAACTACCACAGTGAAGAAAATCTTCCTAATAACAAATATTGAAACTTTCTTTTTTCTTTTTCTTTTTTTGTTTTAGGAGAGAGATTTTTGGTATAGGACATGTGTGCTCACCAGAGAAACAGAAAGCGAGAAATCACCCCTCGGGGGGATGAGCACGCTACAATCTTCTCCGTCATTCTCCTTTTGGGGTTTTGGGCACACATGCCCATGTGCTTGGCATGATTTTAAGCCACCGGGTCTAGGACTCAAACCGTGATCGACTACGTCCAGTGATGTAACCATTATGCCATCTGCTGGACTGAGACTTTAATTTTTTAACATAGGATCTCCATCACTTAGGCGAGCTGTTGATTTTTATAGGAATGATGGACAATAATGTTTCAAAATGTAAATTTCTTTATTATTTTAAAAAATTTGTTGCAGGACATATGCACTAACAGAGAGAGAGAGAGAAAGCAAGTTGCCAGGTGTGGGACTTGAACTGCAGTTGGCCATGTGGGAGTCCAGTACCTTAATCACCACACTTCCTACTGGCCCCCAAAACTTAATTTATTAAAGGTATAATTAATTTTTCTTCCTGTTTCAATTATTAAGATTAATTTTGGCTGAATTCCTTGGTGCTAAACATGAAATATATTACAGGAATCTGAAAATTCTGGGAATCCAGACAGTTCTCTTTTTCCTTTTGTTAAAAGGTAATTATATGGGGCCATCCAGATAATGTAGCAGTTACATTGCTGGACTCCCACATGGCCAACCATGGTTCTGGCCCCAGACCCAGTGGCTTGAAACTCACGCCGGGCATGTTTGGTTGTGTGTCCAATATTCCAGGAGAAGAATGGTGGAGAAGGCATTGCAGAGTGGCCCTCTCCCCCGAGGGGTGGGGTGGTGATTTCTCACTTTCTCTCTCACTGTCTCTATCTCTCTCTCTGGCAAGTGCACATGCCCTAAGGCAAAAACATCTTAAAAAATAAAGGGTAAAAAGATAAATAAATGAAAAGGGTAACTATGGTGTATACTACTAGGCTCTGGAATCTGTATTGGAATTTTCATCCTTCCACTGCCTAGCGCTCTAGTGGCCTGTGCCTGCCCCATCCACCAGGAGACTTAGGCCTGATCTTGGCAGGCTTCTTCTTGTGAGTGCACTCTCAGGTGTCGGGGTTAACTTTGCCTGTGCGTTGCACCCAGCACAATGAGTGATTTGATACTCTTCATTAAGTTATATCTCCTTACCATGCTACCACCTAATTAAGAACTGAAAGTTTGGTAGAGGAGCCACGCACCTGAAATTACCCATCACTGCTCTAATCCGAGAGACACAGCCCTTCAATAGGAACATGCCTGGGAGCTAAGGGTGAAATTTCCACTTCCAATACTACAGAGTGTACTCCAATAAATAGAAAAAGGGAATACTGCAACAAATGGTCCCAAACCAGTGCAGATCTCAAAGAAATATGAGGAAATAAGGAGGTAACCCTCCTGCAGTTGAGCACAGTAGCCCCTCGCCAATAATGGACAGCATAGAAGAATACACAGAAATGTCAGAAAAAGAATTCTGAATATCCATACTGACAAAACTCAATGAGATGCAAGAAAAAACGGGACAAAAAAAAAACACCAGAAAATCAGTTCCAGGAAATGAGAAAATCATTTCAAGACATGAAAGAGAATTTCATAAAGAAACAGACACTGTAAAAGAAAGAAAGAAAAAAAAAAACTTCTAGAAATGAAGATAGAATACAAGAAATTAAAATCTACCTAGACAGTATTGCAGATTGGACTATGCAGAAGAAAGAATTTCTGACCTTGAAGACAAAGTCTCCAACATAGGCCAAACCATCAAAAAGAATGAAAAAAAATAAATAAATAAAATGAAGACAACATATGGCACATCCTAGACACCATGAAACACCAAAATATTCATGTAATGGGTATTCCAGAAGGTGAAGAATCTGCTAAAGGCATGGAAAACCTCTTTCATGAAATATTATTTGAAATTTTTCCAAATATAGAGAAACATGGAGAAATTCAGACCCAAGAAATAAAAAGGACTCCACAAAAAGATTCTGCCCCTGGCACATCATAGCCAAACTGGTAAAAAATCAAAAACAAAAACAATATTCTAAAAGTGGGAGAAAATGGCAAGAAAGAATTGTCAAGTTACTTAGAAAGGTCATCCCATTAGGCAAACATCAGACCTCTCAACTAAAATAATGCAGGCAAGTAAAGAATGGGAAGGTGTATTCAAAACATTGAAGAAAAAACAATTTCAACCAAGAATACTATATCATTCAAGATTATCCATCAAATGGGAAGAATAAATAAAAGTATTCTCAAACAAAAACTGAAAGAATTCACCAATACTATATCAGCTCTACAGGAAGTACTCAGAGGAGTATTATATCACAATAACTAAAGGATAGACAGAAATAAGAGAACAAAAAAGAACTGAGAAAACAGCTAAAAAATGACAGGAATAAGTCTGCAAATATAAATAATAATGTTGAGTGTTAATGGGTTAAATTCTCCCATTAAAAGACACAGACTGGCTGAATGGATACAAAAACAGAAGCCATCTACATGCTGCTTACAAGAAACACACCTCACTAATAATGGTATAAACAGTCTTAAAATGAAGGACTGGGAAGATATTCCATGCAAATTAAAACCAATAAAAGGCTGAAGTTACAATACTGATATCAGACAAAATAGACTTTAAGATGAAAGATGTAAAAAGAGTCAAAAGAAATGCATTATATAATACTAAAAGTACTTGTTCACCAAGAAGATATAACATTTGCAAATATGCACCCAACACTGGAACACTTAAATACATCAAAGAGAGATGTTAGCTCTCAAGCGAGAGATAGACTGCAACACAATAATCATAGGGATCTCAACATCCCACTATCTCTTCTGGATAGATCATCTAGACAAAAAATAAACAAATAGATACAAGACCTAAATGATTCCATACATGAAATGGATTTGACAAACATCTACAGAGTATTTGACTACCACAAATAAACACTTCTCTCACCTCCACATGGAAGGTTTTCAAAGACTAACCACATGAGAGAGTACAAAATAAGCCTTTTCAACTACAAATGTATAGAAACTATATCCAGCATCTTTTCCAATAACAATAGAATCAAACTTGAAAACAGCAACAAAAAGAGCCCTCAAAAATACACAAACTCATGGGAAACGAGCAGTTAGCATAATGGCTATGTTGCTGGACTCCCACGTAGTCAACCGCAGTTCGCATCCCGGACCTGGTGGCTTAAAACTCACGCCGGGCGCATGTGCGTGCGTGCCCAGGATCCCGAGAGGAGAAAGGAGGAGAAGGGATTGCGGTGTGACCATCCCCCCCTGGGGGGTGATTTCTTGCTTTCTGTCTCTATGTCTCTCTCTGTCTCTCTGGCGAGCGCACACGCCCTATAGCGAAAACCTCTCCAAAAAAAAAAAAAATACAAACTCATATAAACTAAACAACATACTCTTGAATGACTTTATAACTTACAGAAGAAATTAAGTTTGGAACCAAAAGGTTCATAGAAACCAATAATAATGAACAAACATTTATAACCTATGGGATACAGAAAAAGCAGTCATAAGAGGTAAATTCATAGCAATTAGTGCCAACAAGAAAAAAGCAAAAAGGTGGCAAATGAACAACCTAACAACATAACTCAGGGAACTGGAAAAACAGCAACAACAACAAAAAACATACAAAAATTTCCAGGAAAAAAGAAATAATAAAGATTCAAGCAGAAATAAATGAAATAGAGAATAAAAGAACTACACAAAAAATAAATAAAACCAAAAGCTGGTTCTTTGAGAAGATAAACAAAATTGACACACCATTAGCTAGATTAATCAAATAAAACAAAAGAATCAAATAAATCAGATCGCAAGGAAACAGGCACTATTACAATGGATATAACAGAAAAACAAAATATTAGAGAATATATAATCACTATGAGTGATGATACGCCCACAAACAAGAAAACATAGATGAAATAGATGCATTTCTAGACACATAAAACTCATGATTGAACCAGGAAGAAATAGAAAGTCCGAATAGACCTATAACAAACAATGAGATTGAATAA